CTCAACAAAAAAGCTCCTGTTTTGTAGCAGGTTTCCTATGAGGCAGGTGAGGTGGTTGTCCTTTGTGATATTGTACATTTTTCTCAGGAGGAGGCAGTGGTGGTTCACAGTCTTATAGGCTGCTGACAGGTCTATGAAGACAGCTCCGGTGATCTGCTGCCTTTCAAAGCCATCTTCTATGTGCTGAGTCAGGTTCAGCACTTGCGATGTGCAGCTTTTGCCTTTCCTGAAGCCAGCTTGCTGTGGAATCAGACAGGAGTCTAATTTTTTCCGTAATTCTATGCAAAATAAGTCTCTCAAGAACTTTGTAGAGGTGGCACAACAGGGAGATTGGTCTGTAGCTTTTTGGGTCATGACATCACTGGGTAAGAAAGGTGGCCTGTGTGTGGTGGAAAGGGAAGGAAGGAAGAAGAAGGAAATTGGGAAAGCGGGAAGGAAGGAAGGAAAGGGGGGGAAAAGGGATGAAGGAAGGAAGGGATAAAGGAGGGAAGGAAACCTCCTGCACTGTGCTAATAATATAATATATTGTGTATACATATATTGAAGGAGGCTTCAAGGGTCTCTAAGTGAAATTAAGCAAGGGGCTTTGAATGAAATTAACAGCAAAAGAGAAACATACCCTTTCTCTGTAGAAAAATTGCAATACGGAAGAAAATGTTTTTAAGAAACAAGGTGCGACATGTAGAAGGTACTTCCTTGCACAGGATGCATTGTGGTTAACTTCAAAGGTTGTGGTAAAGTGCAGAGTATGCTTGTACAAGAAGGTACTTTCCATCAAAAGGTCAAGGGAGAGGGGCTGGAAAGAGAGTACTTTCCATGAAAAGAAAATGTTCTCTTTTGTTAAAGGTTAAAATTGTTGATGTCAGGCAGTGGTACTTTCCCTTTTTGTTTACACTGGGCTATAAAGTTTGCAGATTTCAAGGGAAGAGCGCGGCAGTCACTTGAAGGGTAACATCTGCGCATGCTGCCCAGCTGTCCATCTTCTTCATGAAGAAACTAAAAATAAAACTTGTTTTTTTTATCTTTCATTGGGACTGTCTCCTTCCTTTCGTGCTCCCGGGGCGTGGATCTAAGAAGACCCAATTTAGGGTCTCTAATATGATATTTTTTTAATATATATATATATATATATATATATATATAAAATGTTTGTTTGTGGGAGAAACATAACTCAAAAAGCACTGGATGAATGGACACAAAATTTTGACGCAATACACCCAACGATCCAACAAATAACCATCACTCCTGAAAACACATAAAAAACCCAGCAGAACAGACTTGAAACTCCAAAAATTAAACCATATACACATACACTCATATACATATGAACACATATATACTCATACACATATACACAAGCACACACAAATATACACATACATATACACACACATATATACATATACACATGCACATACGCATATACATAACACATATATACACATACATATGCATATACACAAGCACACACAAATATACACCTACACATGCACACATATACATGTACACATAAATACACACATACGCATATACACAAGCACACACATATATACACAAACATATACACACGCACATACACACACATATATACATATACACAAGCACACACAAATATACACCTGCATATGCACATACACACATGTACACATACACACGCACATATATACACACATATATATGCATATACAAAAGCACACACATACACAATATACATATACACATATAAACACAGAAATACACAAATATATACACATCTGTGTATATGTGTTTGCATGTATACATATGTGTGTGCATATGTGTGTATACGTGTGTATATATTTGGGAAGAAAAAAGAAAAGGGGGATAAGCTATAGGAAGGAAAGAAAGCAGGAGGAGACATTGCAAGGTAGGCCTTCTTTCTCAGAAACAAAAGGGAAAGCACAGGTTGGGCAGTCAGGTATATATACCCTCATATCTAATACAGACATGGGCAAACTTGGGCCTTCCCGCCAAGTGTTTTGGACTTGATGTGTCATACGGTTATTGTATCAGTAAAATAATAATAATAATAATAATAATAATAATAATAACAACAAGCCAGTAAAGGTGGTCCCAGTGGTGATTGGCACACTGGGTGCAGTACCTAAAGACCTTGGCCTGCACTTAAACACAACCAGTAGGCTTTTAGGAATTCTGAGAGTTCAAGTCCAAAACACTTGGAGGGAAGGCCCAAGTTTACCCATGTAATATATAGCTGACATCTGTTTTCCTCGCTTCTTTGACAGGAGCGATCCCAGGCGGAAGAGATCCGGCTGCAGCTCGAAGAAGAGGGGGTCAACCCTGCAGCCCCCCCGGATGAGCAGCTCTGTTCCGTGTGGAGTCTGTTCCTGCGCGGCCGAGAAGAACTGCGTTCGACCACCGTTGAGCTGGAGAAGCTCCGCCAACAGCAAGCGGAGGAGATGCGAGAGGTGAGGCACCAACAGCAGACCCAGAGGCTTCTGAAGGACTCCGGACTGTCCTGAACATCGACACAAGCTGTCCCCAAGTTGCAAACAAGAGAGCTTCTGTAGCTTTGTTCTTAAGTTGAATTTGTTTGTAAGTCAGGACAAGTAGATAGATGACATGTTTGTAATCAGTACAGGCAAACAACCCAATCTCTCAGGCGTTCTGCCTGGCTGAGAGAAAGACTGATAACAGAGTCAAGGCTGAAACAAAACCTGTTCCTGGCCATCTGTTGGGGGTGCTTTGAATGCAATTTTCCTGCTTCTTGGCAGAATGGGGTTGGACTGGCTAGCCCATGCGGTCTCTTCCAACTCTAGGATTCTATGATCCTATGATTCTATAACAGATCGGCACAGATTAGGGGATAAAAGTGCCAAGTACAGAATCTTTAGTTCAGACGAAGCATTGCTGAAAATTGAGTTAAGACATCTTTCCTAGTCCTTGGAAGCCTTGAATAGCTCAGTTCCTGGCCCACCTGCAGAAATTAATGAGCCAGTAGATAGAGGACATGTTTGTAATCAGGACAGGCAAACAACCCAATCTCTCAGGCGTTTTGCCAGGCTGAGAGAAAGATTGATAACAGAGTCAAGGCTGAAACAAAACCCGTTCCTGGCCACTTAGGACAATGAGCAGATTAGGGGATAAAAGTTGCCAAGTACAGAATCTTTAGTTCAGACGAAGCATTGGTGAAAATTGAGTTAAGACATCTTTCCTAGTCCTTGGAAGCCTTGCCTTGGATAGATTCATGTGTTAAGTGTCTTTTTTGGATTCATGATTCAAGTTTTGGACTATTACCTTGAAAGTTTCTGTATTTGTTTTTCATGAACTCTGATAGACTAATTTCCTGGATTATTTGTTCCTGCTTATCTTTCTATCTAATCAGTACAGGCAAACAACCCAATCTCTCAGGCATTCTGCCTGGCTGAGAGAAAGATTGATAACAGAGTCAAGGCTGAAACAAAACCCGTTCCTTGCCATCTGTCGGGAGTGCTTTGAATGCAATTTTCCTGCTTCTTGGCAGAATGGGGTTGGACTGGATGGCCCACAAAGTCTCTTCCAACTCTAGGATTCTATGATCCTATGATTCTATAACAGATCAGCACTTGGATCAGCTGCAGAAATTAACAAGCAAGTAGATAGAGGACGTGTTTGTAATCATTACAGGCAAACAACCCAAACTTTCAGACCTTCTGCCAGGCTGAGAGAAAGACTGATAACAGAGTCAAGTCCGAAACGAAACCCGTTCCTGGCCATTTGTCAGGGGTGCTTTGAATGCAATTTTCCTGCTTCTAGGCAGAATGGGGTTGGACTGGGTGGCCCATGAGGTCTCTTCCAACTCTATGATTCTGTGATCCTATGATTCTATAACAGATCGGCACTTGGCCCGCTCTTTGTCCTTATGTTCGGTTTTTATGTTCTATGTGTATTGTATATTGTTTATATGCTTTGATGTTTTATACTTTAATGTTATGTTGTTTATTTTATTTTATTGTAATTTTTTATTGTTTTGTATTGTAATCTGTTGTTTGGGCTTGGCCCCATGTAAGCCGCTCCGAGTCCCCATTGGGGGAGATGGTGGCGGGGTATTAATAATGATGATGATTATTATTATTATTATAATTATTGGATCAGCTGCAGAAATTAATAAGCCAGTAGATAGAGGACATGTTTGTAATCAGTACAGGTAAACAATAGGCTTGGGTAACTACGGAAAAAATTGGTTCTAAACTCGTTTCGTTTTTAGGGGGGCTCTTGCGTTTCGTTTTTTTTAATAATTCCGAAATTTACCTTTAAAAAAATTCGAAATTTACGAAATTTCGTAAAATTACGAATCGATTCGTTAATGGTGGATGCAATTGTGCAATGTGCTAAAAAACCCTCCAAATGGGACAGGGGGAACTTCTGAAGCTTCCCTCTCCCTCTATTGTTGACTGTTGGTGTGATAATTTATTTTTTATCACTGATAAAACAAACAACAACTATAAAACTTGCACCAGACATACGGAAATAATTACGAAACAATTACGAAACAATTTCGAAACAATTACGAAACAATACGATATAAATTGGAAAAATTGATTCGATTTTTAATTACTCCTCACAGTAGTCCTGCATGGCTCAATATTGGATCGTAAGCTAATTTAAATACGAATTAATAACAAATTACAAAATTAACGAACGAAACCGCCCAAGCCTAGTAAACAACCCAAACTCTCAGGCGTTCTGCCAGGCTGAGAGAAAGACAGATAACAGAGCCAAGTCTGAAATGAAACCCGTTCCTGTCCATCTGTCGGGGGTGCTTTGAATGCGATTTTCCTGCTTCTTGGTGGAATGGGGTTGGACTGGATGGCTCACCAGGTCTCTTCCAACTCTAGTATTCTATGATTTTGTTTCATAGGCATATAGGTCTCTGATTCAGTTCCCTCTCCATCCATAGGAATCCACTGAGTGACTTTTGGGCAAGTCACACGCTCCCAGAAAACCCCAAGTTTGCATAAGTCTAGTATTATTTTAAGTCACACCACAACAAGGCCTGAGAATTGTGCGCTTCCCTTCTCTTTCCCAATTATTATTATTATTATTATATTTAATACGCCATTGGGAGAGACATAAACAACACTTTGTGGGTTTTTTGTCCCTTTTTTTGTATCCTGCTGATTTTGGACAGAGAGCCATGTTTTCCATTTCTCGGTGACTCCTCTGTTCAGATATTCTCCGTCTCGGAATTGTAGGCATGCCGTCAATAGAGGAATCTGTTATGCTCAGGCTGCGGGGAGCTTCCCCTTCGGAACGGAATGGGATTTGCGCAGGAGGGCATCCTGTACGGGGCAGAACCCTATTGCTTCGGAGCCGTTCCTTTCCTTCAAAGCGGGGAAGCAAGACAATAGGAACAGCAGGGGAGAACGATGCCTTGTATCTGGACCGCGGCTGTCAGTTTCCTTTCTCCGCCAATGATTGATTTCCTGCCCTTTGCCAGGACACCTCGGGTTCCCAAAGGGTACTTTTCCACATGCGTTTGGCATTTGCGAAGGCCTGTCCGTTCCCCCTCTTTGAACAAAGGGCACATGCCGTAACTGATGAGAAAAGGAGACCGAAATAGGTGCTATAAGTGCATAAGTGCACATGGCCCTTGAAGATAACACGAGGAGGTCTATGGCATCCGGCATCCTGTTTCTCACCTACTTTGGTCTCCCGGCTCTCAGGGGGAAAATTTCCAGACTTGTGTGGCTTTGTGTCGGTGCCTCCAAGGCGTGCATTATGTGCCTACTGACCTCTCCCAATTGCTCTGAACTTTCGGGAGTGAAAAACAAGTCATTTTCACCCTTGGAGCATCAATTTTTCAAATACGTTGCAGGTCCCTTTTGGTCGGTTTAGCAACACCGTCCTTGTGTCCATTTCAACTTGTGAAATTGTATTAATTTTATCAATTTGGTTGTTGCACTCCAGGTCCAGAAGAAGCCGTCTGACTTAAAACACACCACACAAAGAGTGAAGAAACAAATCTTCTTTTATTGAAACTTAGTAAATAGCCAGAAGAAATAAATGCTTGTAAGAAAATAAGAAGGTTCCAAAAAGTAAGAAATCCGTAAGAAGCCCTCTGACTTTAAAACACACCACATGAAAAGTGAAGAAGCAAATAGTCTTTTATTGAAACTTAGTAAATAGCCAGAAGAAATAAATGCTTGTAAGAAAATAAGAAGGTTCAAAAAAGTAATGTCCATAAGAAGCCCTCTGACTTAAAATACACCACACAAAGAGTGAAGAAACCAATCTTCTTTTATTGAAGCTTAGTAAATAGCCAGAAGAAATAAATGCTTGTAAGAAAATCAGAAGGTTCCAAAAAGTAAGAAGTTCATAAGACGCCCTCTGACTTCTCTGGCTTTAAAACTGGATTCTCTGGCTTGAACCAAGGCCAGGAAATCCCTTCCTTCTCTGGTTTAAAACTGGCTTCTCTGGCTTTAAAACTGGATTCTCTGGCTTGAACCTAGGCCAGGAAATCACTTCCTTCTTTGGTTTAAACCTGGCTTCTCTGGCTTTAAAACTGGATTCTCTGGCTTGAACCTAGGCCAGGAAATCCCTTCCTTCTCTGGTTTAAACCTGGCTTCTCTGGCTTTAAAACTGGCTTCTCTGGCTTGAACCTAGGCCAGGAAATCCCTTCCTTCTCTGGTTTAAACCTGGCTTCTCTAGCTTTAAAACTGGCTTCTCTGGCTTGAGCTGAGGCCAGGAACCAGAAGCGGGGAAAAGCAAGTGGAGGAAATTCTTTCCTTCTCTGGTTTAAACCTGGCTTCTCTGGCTTGAGCCAAGGCCAGGAAATTCTTTCCTATTTAAATAAAAATGTAATGTTCAAATGTAATGTTCAAAAGCCACTGGGTGAATTGACACCAAATTTGGACACAAGACACCTCTCAGGCCAACGAGTGACCTTCACTCATAAAAACACCGAAAAAGACAGCGGAAGGGACTTAAAAAGCCAAAAAATAGAAATTACATTACAATGCATGATATATGCAAACACACATATACACATATTCACAAATATATACACACACAAATACACACACAAAACACATATACACAGACTGGGCCACAGCATCACGTGGCAGGGGACGTGTGCTTATGTGTATATGTATGTTTATAGTGTATGTTTATATTTGTGTGCGCTTGCGTACATATATATGTGTATGTGTGTATGCATGTGTATATATGTGTGTATACATGTGTGTATGTATGTTTATATGTATGTTTATAGTGTATGTTTATATTTGTGTGTGCTTGCGTACATATATATGTGTATATATATGTGTATATGTATATTGTGTATATGTGTGTGCTTGTGTATATGCATATATGTGTGTATGTATGTGTATATGTATGTTTATAGTGTATGTTTATAGTGTATGTTTATATTTGTGTGTGCTTGCGTACATATATATGTGTGTATATAGGTGTATATGTATATTGTGTA